AAAAAATGTTCAATGTGACTGAAAAATGGTCCACAATGATTAAAATTTGCACAAAATTATGCAAATATTTCTAATATCACACAAAAATGTTCCAAAATGGTTTTTAAAATGTCCAAAACAAATCCCAAAATGCCTCACAAATCGCCCACGTGTCTGTCTCCTGTGTTTATGAAGCTACAAGGCTCAGAAATTATGAAAAAAAAACCTCTACACACTCCAAGGGCCTGGAAATATTCACAGTGTAAAGCTTTACCAGCTCCATTAGACGTGTGGAGTGTATACAACGCTGGCGTTCGTCCTTCGATGTGTTTTACAAGGTTTCCAGTAAAATAAATCACGATTAAAGCCTTTTTTTAGGTTTTAACACACTGAAAAAAAGCTAAGAATTTACCTCTTTAACCTACTGCTGCTTGCACTAACACTCATGAAAGCACAAGGTCACGTTATTGCGGAGCTCTCACGTGGAGGAAAACACACAATACGAGCTCCGTCGTCTTTGTGCGAACGTGTTGAACAAAACCTGCGCTGAGAAAAGCCTCCGTGAATGCACACACTGCAGCAGCAGCAGCAGCAGCAGCAGCAGCAGCAGCAGCACACGGACCCAGAGACCCCCATCCCCCCTCTGCAGGCTGATGAAACCTTTCCCCAGAGCTGGCAGCTAAAGAAAAAAAATCTGTCTTTTTCTCACTCGCTCTGCAATCAGATAAAAAATTAAATAAAAAGCAGCAGCAGCAGCAGCGCAGGAGTGAAATAAAAGAGCCGGCTGATGCGATATCGGTGCTCTTTGTGTGCAGGAGCGGATTTCATCATCGCCTGCTTTTACCGGCGTTACGAGTGCAGGGATGTAATGATACGGGACGTTAGGTCCGCGTTTAGTCGGGAAACTGATCCGCAGAGTCAGAACCTGTGTACACCGGCGCATTTTTAATTTGACAAGTTCTAATAATTTACCAAAATCTGGCCTCAGGTTTGGAAGAAACAGAAAAAAAATCTATAAAAACATCACCAAAGTTGCACCAGAAACTGTAAAAAAAGAGGAAACCACAGATGTAATTCCTGTTTGGTTACTTCGGGTCAAATCTAAGCTAAAATCGTGATATTTCATCTAAATCATTGTTAAAAATTAGCCATAAGTTGCTCCCAGTGATGAACAGTCACATGACAAAGACATTTTAGGTTAAGTCGGTTGAACTGCAGGAAGTGTTGGCGCAAAAAAATGGCACCATCAGAGAAAGAAAAGAAATTCCATGAACTAATCATCCATGATGCTTCGTTCTGTTAGAAAAAACTAACCAGATCATTCATCAAAATCCTGTTATTCTGCGTCTCGTTTTTTAAAAAATGTTTTAAATCGCAAGAAACGGATATTTTGCTTTAGCTAGAATCCGTAAAAAGCAAAAAATTCTGTGCTCATCATCGCGACCAAAGAGTCCGTCAGTGTCTCAGCTGTGATCAACAGTCAGGTGACAAAAATTCAGACATTTTAGATTAAATCGGTTGAAGTACAGGCTAGGACTGGACCCGAATAGCCAACTGTTTGTTCACTGTGCCAGAATCGGGATATCAATTTTGATCTCCAAATAGCTGTATATCAACATTTGAGAAACGTTGGACATGCTGATTCCAGGCTTTTTCAGTTTTTGCAAAATAAAAATAAAAAAATCAAAGAAAATCACATTTTTGTTTCTTTTTTGTATGAAATCTGTCAGGAGCTGCAGGACTTTATGTTGCAGTGAAAAAATGACCCAAAGTGAAGAAAAATGAGACAGAATTATTAAAAAAACGCTCAGAAACTGCTGCTTGGAGTTCAGAGGTTTAAACAAAACACCACCGTAACAGACCAGAAGGTACAAACTGAGATGAGCGACAGGCCGGAGCGGTCCTGAACTCTGTAGGGGATGAAAACAACCGTCCTCTATGTCATGATCCTCCTTTAAAGGCCCTGAAGGTCAGAATCTATAATCCATGACTCCAGGATGTCGTACAAACTCCCTCCATCTGCTCCCCTGAGCTCGCGCTGACATTTACCTCGAGGCTGAGGAAGCCGCCGTCGTGGGCGGCGGTGAGCCGAGGCGACGGCTCGAACCACTCGCAGGACTTCCCCAGCAGGTTCCTCAGCGTCCGGACCGACGAGACGGTGACGGAACCGGAGCAGCGGGCCAGGATCAGGACGTTGTCGCTCCACCAGCTCACGTCCACCAGGGGGAAGTACTGCTCCTTGTCTGGGCGAAGACACGGAGAGGCAGCGTTAAACACAGAACCGGGCGTCTCGCCGATTAGCTTTGCGTGAACACAGCCTGCAGTTCAGCTGAAAAGAAGAAAACTGTCATTTGAATGTTGGTTAAAGCTTCCATGTTTTCAGAATCAAAAATACTTTATTGATCCCCGATTGAAAATTGCTCGCGTTACAGTTGCTTCCATTCAAAGCCAAGAAATAGAAACAGTTCAAAATATTTAAACATAAGAACAAAATATGAACTAAAAGTAGAAACACGAGTAGAAACTGTATTAGCATGGATGTAAAATGTGCTTCTCCGAAGAGAATAAAGTGTAATAGCGCAAAGTATAGCACAAAATTTTTGAAATTGTCTACTGTTGGCGATTTTTTTTTAAACGAGACACAAACAAATAACGTGATTTGGTAAAATTTTCTGACACATCACAGATGAGCAGACCACAGGAAAAGTGTTTTTACAGTTTCTTGCTGTGATGTGCTGCGTTTTTCTGAATTCTGACGAACACAAAAGAGAGAAAGGTTCTCTAGTTCGCATTATATTTCTACTTTAACACGTGTTTGAATTTAGCATCTGCGAGTTTTAACTAATACCCAAGTGTTTGAACTGGTTTATGAGGCGCAATCAAAATTTTCTGCGACTGTGAGTCTGAAAGAAGAAAAAAAATAATTAAAAACTGATTTAACTTTGCAGCGACACACAGCTCCCAGTGCTCCTGCAGCTTCCTAACACTGGAGATGCTGCAGGAAAAAGAGCAGCCACCTAAAGATCCCAGTAATACCAAATATGGCAGCGGGATGACGCACTTCCTCCTAACAGCCAATCATCTGCTTTGTTCCACTCAAACCAGGAAACCAGCCGGTCGTGCATCAATTTGTCATGAAATTATGCGAAATAGATGCATAAATGTGGGGAAAGAAGCTTTTTACAGATTAATTTGGGGTAAACTTTTTCCCAGATGTGGCTGGAGTGTCTACGAGAGCTGCGGCGACTAAGAGATTAGATGTCAACAATTAAATTAGTTGGGAACTAATTTGATAAACGATTAATCACTTTGTGTAATTTTTCAGTGAAAGCACTCTAAATTCTCTCTGTGTGTCTGATTGCAGCTTCTTAAGCATGAATACTTTCTAGTTTTTGTCATCTCTGCATTTTCTTAATCATTTTCTGACATTTTACAGAACAAACATCTAATAAATTAATCCACAGACTGGTGAAGTTGCAGCTCTCTCTCTCTGTCCCCGCTCTTTTAGATTACGTTTTAATACCATGAACAAACCGATGCTGCTACTATGAAGGCTGCCGAGAGGCGAGGCTTCGGTAATGAAACATTTTCGACTCGTCAAAAATGAAAGAAAGCGGTTTTAAATGACTCATCGCAGCGGTCTCTGAACTTTCCGATCACCGCTCGCGCTGCTCGTCTCATCATAACTTCACTTGCAGCTCGACTGAGGTGTGCAGAGAACAGATAATGTGGAGAACACGACCCGTCGGATTCAGTTCTACCTCAACATCCTGTGTGCGATAAATATGCAAGGATTAAACAAAAACACCGATTGTGCGACGTCACGCTGCGCCCGGGCTCGCCGTTCGCACACACGTGTGACGGCCGACGGTCTCTGAACTTTCTGATCGCGGCGCATTTGCACATGCGGACATCAGTTGTCTCGCCTGAGATGAAGACATAGTCACAGATTATTGCTTACACAAGCTGTCACAGTTGTCATCGTCGCTGGCCCAAAACTGTCAGGAAAGAAAAAATAAAATAAAATCCCCAGACTTTACAGCTGCACAAGCACAGGAATACACACATCCGCAGGCATGGACACTGAAGCAGAAAAATATATGCTGGCCTTGGCATATACTGTACGGTTGTATGTCTAAATAAGTGTGTAATTCAGTGAATAGGACATGTCAAAGATCATTAAATTGTATCCGGCGTGCACTGCAATGTCAGCAACAAAGTCGGCTCTCTGCAGCCCTTCAGGCCAAACTACCTTTTATTTTCTTCCTCCTCTCCAGCGACGTCTTCCACTCCGGGTTGATCTCCTCAAATCCTGGCTGCAGGGAGGACCGAAGGACGGAGGCAGCGAGAGGAAGAAGAAGAAGAAGAAGCAGTGAGAGAGGAGGGAAGAAATTAATCTGCTAACCCTGTTTACACACCAACAGGAGCTGTGACGGCGGTGAAGCAGAACAAACACGCACGCTGCAAAACACGCCGCAAATGTAAGTTCTCCGTAAGCCAGCGAACACATTCTCTGTGCACACCTTGGCCAGAAAAGAGATTACATTAATACACTCAGCCAAGCATCTAATGTAGGAAATATTAGCAGGACGCGCCGCTGCAGTGCACACATGGACGCCTTCCAGAGCACGCAAACACATGCAGCAGGTGAGAGGCACAAAACGACTACAAGGAGGCAAAAAATGACCACAAAGAGACACAACTAACCACAGGGACAGTCAAAACCAACACGGACAAGAAAAAAAAGGGACAAAGGGACACAACGCAACGACAAAGAGACAAAAAATAAGTATAAAGAGACACAAAAGTATCACAAATAGATGCAAAATCAACATAAAATACACAAAACAACTGCAAAGAGACAACAGAGACTAAAATAAAGCACAAAAAGAGACACAAAAACCACCACGTGGATAAACTACAAGCACAAAAAGAGACAAAGCTATTCCAAAGAGACAAACAGTAATAACAAAGAAGCACAAAATCATCAACTGCTAAACCACAAAATATAACACAGACAGACAGTGACCAGAAAAACACACAAAACCACCACAAATCAACACAAAACCACCACAAACAGACATAAAACCACCACAGAGACAAAAAACCAACACAAAGAGACACAAAACCAACACAAAGAGACACAAAACCACCACAAAGAGACACAAAACCAACACAGAGACACAAAACCACCACAAAGAGACACAAAACCACCACAAAGAGACACAAAACAGCCACAAAGAGACACAAAACCACCACAAAGAGACACAAAACCAACACAGAGACACAAAACCACCACAAAGAGACACAAAACCAACACAAAGAGACATAAATCACCACAAACAGACATAAAACCACCACAAACAGACACAAAACAACCACTAAAAACACACAAAACCACCACACACAGACATAAACCACCACAAACAGACACAAAACCACCACAAACAGACACAAAACCACCACAAACAGACACAAAACCAACACAAACAGACACAAAACCACCACAAACAGACACAAAACCACCACAAACAGACACAAAACCACCACAAACAGACACACAACCACCACAAACAAACACAAAACAACCACAAAATCACCACAAACAGACATAAAACAACCACAAACAGACACAAAACCACCACACACAGACATTAAACCCCCACATGTTGGTAAAACCCAGCGTACCTGCTGGTCTTGGCTCCAGGCCGCCCTCTGCTTCAGGGAGGGGACGTCCCAGAGGCTCAGGCGTCCAGAGAAGTGAATCACAGCCAGCAGGGCGCCGTCAGGACTCAGACTCATCCTAAAAACCCCGTCCTGGACGACACACACGGGTTTTATTAAGGAGCTGCTGCGCATTGATTTTAGAGACGTATAAACAGACTGAAGGCTCTGTTACCTTCTCATCTCCTTGTCTGGAAAACAGCCTGAAGCTGGGCATCCTGAAGAAGCCTCTCTTCTGACTCTGACACACAGAAACCAGAGTTAGCTGCTGCGTGGTTTTTATTGTGCGTTTATTGTGTATTTAGGCCACGGCCGTGTGGCGTCCTCACCGTGCCGACGTCGTCCTCGTAGCTGGTGACCTGTTTGTAGTGTGGGGAACCAGACAGCGTCCTCCAGGCCGTGATGCCGCAGCAGGAGGCCTTGGATGTTCCATCGTCGCCCGACTCGCAGCCCCCCACCAGCAGCAGGCTGAAAACACACACACACACACACACACACACACACACACACACACGGCGTTGGTGGGTTTCCTGACGGCGGCCCAACACGTCAATTTGCACTGAATAACAAGGACGGAAAATTAAAAGTGGAGAGAGAGAGGTTGGCCCTGCTGACGTGCCAGTTAGCAAATCAGGGGATTAAAACATTATTTGTCAGAAGTAAAAAGTGTGTTTGGAATCAATGGTGGAGCTCAGTTAAGAGAGAGAAAAAAAAAACACAGCACAGTGGTCAGAGTGTTTGGCTTTGCAGTGAGACGGATTCAATAATAATGGAGCGGATGGAGCAGCGCTGTCCAGCTCAACACTGCCCCCTGCTGCACCACAACCAAACAGTAAATATGTGAACAACAGGAGTGATCCAGCTCAGAGCGAGATCACTGAAACGTCAGATGATTCAACGCTGCATCAGCTCAGAGCGACTGAAGCACCGTGAGCGCATTTCCTCTAATAAACAATTAGAAATAAACACTTTAGGAAGATGATACTGAACATTCAGGCCCCAAAGCAGAAACTTAAATAACCAAAGTGAATCCAGTCAGTCTACCGACATGAACAGAGCAGCAGAACCTTCTCAGTTCTGGACCTATGGACTGTGTCTATCTATGTCTTCATCATGGCTCCACATGGAGAAGACCTGAACAGAGGAGGAGAAACATCTGACTGAGAGACTTGACAAAGATGGAAAAGGATCCAGAAGATCAGTGAGCAGCTAGAACCCAGTGCAGCCCAGTGTGAGCAGGAACCAGGAGGTCCAGAAGGAGCCACAGCAGCACTGATCAGGGCTGCAGTGGTCGTCCTCCTACAACGACTCCACGGACAGTCAACTACTGTCACTATGGAGCTGTGGACACCAGACAAAGGCAGCTGCTTCAGACTTGGCACAGGGCTTATCAATGGAGACCAGAGTTAGTGTGAAGCTCAGACAGTGTGAAGGACACTTCAGAACATCAGCCTCTATGGACGGAGGACCAGAACTAAACCTGGCTGCTGCTCACAGCTAAACTTCCACATCAAAGTTCACCAAAGAACATGAAGAGAAGCCTGATGGATGTTGGAGAACATCCTCTGGTCAGATGGAGATCAATGTGTTGGGCTCAGATGGAGTCCAGATGTTTGGTGTGAACCTGACCAGGACCACCACAGGGGATGCATGGTCCTGACAGTGAAGCACGGAGGTGGCAGCATCATGATACGGGGCTGCATGAGGGCAGAAGGTGTTGATGACGTTTCTAGATGCTCCATGAATGTCTGAGGATGAACCAGGATACTGGCTGAGCAGATGAAGAAGAGGAAGATTCCAGCAGGAGAACATCCAGAGAACATCATCATCACAAGAGCTTCTACATCAGAACCAAGTCAAAACCAGGATGTCTAACATGACTTGAAACATGTCCAAAATGTCTCCAAACTCTTCAAGAACAAGCAAAGAATAAACTAAATGATTTAAAATCTGTCCAAAACTGAAAGACCATGATAAATGTGTTGGGCTCAGATGGAGTCCTGCATGTTTGATGTTTGATTCGTTCAAAATGACTAAAATCCCAACAAAAATTACTCCAATTAGTCCAGACAGGTGCCCTGAAGGTTGGAGGTGTTCCTTTGTCTTCTCTGAGATGTTAAGGTTTCACAAAAACAGATTCATCTTCTCGTATTCCTGATGCACGTCTGCAGATTCCACACAGCCATTATAAAGTAGCGTACACATTATTTCCACAAACACATTCAGCTTGTGGATTTATTTTTCTGAGCTCCAGTGTATCACCTTCTCCTTTTCTTAACTCTCTTCTCTTCTCTCTGATGCTGACCCAGTTTCCACACAGGGATCATTAAAGTTTTATCTCATCTATCAGTTGGCAAACACTCGACAGTAGCTGCCAAAATCCATTAAGCTGCCAAACCGAGCTTCACTGGCCAAACTAAATCTGGTTCGTGCAGACTGGGGAGCGCTGAAAACAGCGAGGTCACGGCCAGGAGCCAGACATAATTAACCGAAACCTTTGGACTCGGAGCGGCGAGGAAAGGCCAAGGACGGCCCGGGCTTCTGCAGCGAATTCCTGCAGGTTTCACATTAAAGTGATTGGTTCATTTATTCCTGAGTATTCGTTGGCTTCGTTCCGGGCTGAAGCACCTCGTGCCTGCAGAGGAATGTCTGGTATGTGCTGCTTCTCCTTCAGCCTTCGTTCTATACCGTCGCTGCAGAACTTCCTTCCATCAGGTTAAATAAAAGGCTCGGTCGCAGCAAACTGTGATGCACTAAAGAGCTCAAATTATGCACAAATATGCAGGTTTATAATTGCATTTTTTCGGTCTACTGGCAGGAAAAATCAGCTCGGGACTCTGCTGACAAGCAGATCTGATTTGATGCATCAAATTTAAACTGACACACGTTTGTCAGTCAGAGGAACGCTGGAAAAGTTTTACTGAAAGCAGCTAAAAGGTCTTAAAAATGTGCAGAATTAAATCAGGAATTGTCAAAAATGACAAAGTGCAAAACTAAAAATTGTCCAGAATAATAAAATAAATGTCAAAAATGAGCTGAAAATTGTCCAAACTGACAAAAAAAATGCCTAAAATATCCCAGAATGATGCAAAACTGTC